GCACGACGATCTTGGAGAAATCTCTGATAAATCTCCGATAGTAGCCGGCCAATCCTAGAAAACTCTTGATCTCGGTGGGTGATCTCGGCACCTCCCACCTCATAACCGCCTCAATCTTGGCCGGATCGACTAAAATCCCATTCTGGTTGACGAGATACCCCAAGAACTGGACCTCCCATAACCAGAACTCACACTTGGAGAATTTGGCATAAAGCCTCTCCGTCCTCAATACCTCGAGGATCTCTCTCAGATGCTCCTCGTGCTGCTCTCTAGATCTCGAATATACTAAAATATCATCAATGAACACGATCACCGATCGGTCCAACATCGGTCTGCACACCCTGTTCATGAGATCCATGAACGCTGCCGGTGCATTGGTGAGCCCGAAAGGCATCACCACGAACTTGTAATGCCCATAACGAGTCCTGAACGCCGTCTTCTGGATATCCTCATCACACACTCTCATCTGATGATATCCAGACCTCATATCAATCTTGGAGAACTAAGACGCTCCCTGCAACTGATCGAACAAATCGTCGATCCTCGGTAATGGGTAACAGTTCTTGACCGTCAACTTGTTCAACTCCAGGTAATCAATGCACATCCGGTGTGAACCATCCTTTTTCTTGACAAAAAGGATCGGTGCTCCCCAAGGGGAACTACTCGGTCTAATAAACCCCTTCCCCAACAGCTCCTGAAGCTGCGAGGATAACTCCTGCATCTCTGGCGGCGCAAGGCGATAAGGCGCCTTGGCGATAGGCGCTGCCCTCGGAACCAAGTCGATACAAAACTCTACCTGCGTCTCGGGAGGCACACCCGACAACTCCTCGGGAAAAACATCTGGGAACTCACGCACTATCGAAATGTCATCCATCAAACTTGGCCTCCCAGCGGCCTCTCGTGTGTCCATCACATAGGCTACAAACCCGCTGCAGCCCTGCTGTAAACTCTGTCTCGCTCTGGCAGCCGAACAAAACTCTGACCCACATCGGGTACCCTCACCGTACACCGTAATTACTCCCCCACTAGGGTCTCGTATCGTCACCAACTGTGGCTCACAGTCTATAACAGCCCCAAATCGGCTCAACCAATCCATGCCCACTCTGACACATACGTCCCCCATTGCAATCGGGACTAGTTCTATCAGGAACTCAACACCGAAGATCTCAAGTACACATCCTCGAATCACATCCGTAGCATACACCGCTCGCTCGTCAGCTATGGAAACTCGTAGAAGTCGACTCAACGCCTCTCGTCGGCTACTGATGTGCCGACTAAACGCTATCGACACAAATGATCGATTCGCACCCGAGTCAAATAACACTAAGGCAGGTACATAACTCACAAGAAAAGTACCTACGCATATCATAATATAAGTACAATATCTCAAATCAGCATAAATAAATAAAGAATACATACCAGCCACAACATCGGGCGCTGCGTGGACCTCCTCCGCTGTCAACTGGAAAGCTCTCCCGCGAACCTTCGGTGCCTCGGCCTTCGCTGGCCGAACCTCGGTAACCCTAGCAGCAGGTGCAGATCCCTGATGTAACTGCGGTCACTCGGCCTTCCGATGGCCAGTCTGGTTGTAATGAAAGCAAACCATAAACCCCTTGGGGCAATCCTTGGCGATATGCCCCTCCTTGCCACATTTGTAGCAAGCACTTGATCGACAGACCCCATCATGTCCCTTTCCGCACTTCCCACAAGTGCGGCCCTTCTGGCCTCCAGATCTCGTATCAGCGGACTTTGACCGCTTGGTTGCCGGCTGAGACTGTGCCGGCCGCCGATCCATCCTTTGAGACTCGGCCTCCTCCCTGGCCTGAGTCTCCAACTCAATCTCCCTCTTCCGGGCATTTGCCTGAAGCTCAACAAATGTCCGGTAAGTCGAGTTCGACACGAACTCCCGTATATCCCTCCTCAAAACGCCCAAATATCGGCTCATGCGTGCCTGCTCAGTAGACACCTGCTCAGGGCAGAACATCGCCCTCTCATGAAACTTCCTGGTAACCACAGTAACATAATCAGTACCCTGCTTGAGAGTCAAGAACTCTTGAACCAACCGTTCCCTCTCCACCGGGGGAACATACTCGTGTCTGAACATAGCGGTGAACCTCTCCCAGGTCACCTCTGAAATCTCTGCAAGAGTGAAGCTCGCCGTCACGAAGTTCCACCAGTCCTTCGCTCCTAAGCGAAGCTGGTTCAGCGCGAACTGTACCCTCAAATGCTCCGGACATGAACACGTGTAAAAGCATCCCTTGATATCAGAAATCCATCTCATCGCAGCGATCGGATCCTGCGTCCCATCAAACTCTGGTGGCTTCGTGTTGCTGAACTCCCGAAACAACAACGAGTCACCTCCCTGAGGCCTGGCAGCAGCCACAACTGCAGTAGCTGCAGCAGCCACAGCCTCAGTCACCGCTGCGTACCGCTCATCAAAAGTCTCAATCAATGTGGTCTTGATAGACCCAAACATCTCCAGAATCTCGGCTCGAATCGCTGCTGCCACCTCATCGTGGATCATCTGACGAAGCTCCTCGTCACTCACGCCGCTCGTCTCAGGTCTGTGGCGTGTCCCAACCATGATGTCTCTGAAATACAACATAATAATATCAGAGACTCGCTCGAGCATACTCTCGCTCGATAACTCAACCCTACTTGTTCCCCAGTACCCTAAGGATTCTTACTTGGACTGTGCACTGATCTGGTGTCTTCAGTAGTACGGGCCCTATACTACTGTCCACACCGCATCAATGTTCACCCCAAGTCCTCCTCCTAGGATCCCAGATCACAAGTACTCTATATCTCACTGGCGTAGGCTACCCTTCGGTAGACCTCTCATCAGCTCCTCACTGCTACCTACTCGCTCTCAAGCATCACATAGCAGCAAAATCCTTCCTAGGCTAAGGCATCACAAAATCAGGCCACTCTAGTCCTAATATGAATACCTAGCTAACTATAGCATGCATATCATATCATAACATATCTCATAACACATAATGTAAGGGTATTTTGGGAAATCACCGTTCAGGAGCTGGCTGATCGTACACACTGCTTCCTTCTGCCTTTCTCAAAATCTTTTAATCTCTTAGAAAAATTGTTTATCTTATGAAAAACTTTCTCAAATCCTCAGTTTGAGTTCAGATTCATCCGAAGATGCACCCGAATCCCTCAAACCAAGGCTCTGATACCAACTTGTAACAACGTAAATTTTCAAAACAATTTTTCATTTTTAAATCATACTTTCAATCACACGATAATCACAAAACATAATGTATCCATTGTGTCATAATAAAACATGTCCCATAATCTCAATAACATAAACTCCATAAGTCTGTACGGATCATGCCGGCGCCTTCCCGCGATCCTCGCTAGTACCTGAAACACATAACATAACAACTGTAAGCATAAATGCTTAGTGAGTTCCCCAAGATACCACATACAACACATACGCCTTTCCAGGCCATAACTCTGTAGGATCTTCCGATCCATGTGTCTCAGGGGACTTCCGTCCCGAATCCTGGTAGACCTTCCGGTCCTACCCGTATCGACCTTCCGGTCCGTAATCTCTTGACCTTCCGGTCCATGTCATTTTGACCTTCCGGTCCATATCATCTTGACCTTCCAGTCCATACCATACATAACATACTTATCACATAAATATCACATAACCGCATATAGCACATACATCTCATAGCATACAAGACCTTCCGGTCACACATAGGTACCCTTCCAAGTACAGTATAGTGAGAAGACTCACCTCAATGAAGTCGGATAAACTCTCGTGCTCAACGTCTCGACCTAGCCTCCTCCTATTATTCAAATAACATTCCCGATCAATATTCTCTCATAATCTCATCTCTACAGATTGGGTAGAAGGCCATTCTACCCCTCTCTGAACTCTCTTGAATCAGTCTTGTCCAGAACCCTAAACTCAACGAAAGTCAACGAAAGTCAACGGTCAAACTTTGACCCGACTCGTCGAGTGCACAAGGGCGACTCGACGAGTCCATGCGGGTTCTCTGAATCCTTCTAGCCTCTCTTGGCTCGTCGAGTCATCGTCCCACTCAACGGGTTACACCTGTCACGAATCGCGGGGAAACCCCAACTCGACTCATCGAGTCCCATTATGGACTCGGCGAGTTGCATCCATGGCAACACTGAAATGACCTTCTGAGGTCAGATCTACTTCTCTAACCTATAGATCTGGCCTTCCCAACCACTATAATCACGTAAAGGTCCGACCTTTACACTCATTCAATGTCCAATAAGCTCCTTTGGGTGAAATAACCTCTAGAATGGCATCCTAGGGTCATATCTCTAATGGAGTAGCAAAAAGCAAGGTAGATAGGACTCTCTGGACCTCTTAAGGTCCAGATCTAAGAAGAACTCCACCTTGGGACCTCACATACTTCGAATCCAAGCCAAAGAAAGCATAAGAAAACCCTAGATTCAAGTAGATCACCAAATACACAAGATTGAGCACAAATTAGTACCTCTAGCAGCCTCTTCTGATCAAATGGGTGATAGATCTGAGCTCCTCAATCTTCCTTGTTTGTCCTCCTTCCTTCTTTCTTGCAAAATCACACTTAGAATGATGAATTAGCCCTCCTCTTGCACTACAAGCTTTCTTTCTGCTCTCTAGGGTTTCTCAGGGATGCATTGGCCGCAAATGGAGGCTATAAAGGCCTTTAAATAGGGCACAGACCTCTAGAATTAGTGTTTCACTTTACAGCGCGGACTCGCCGAGTCCACGCATCGACTCGTCGAGTCCTTCATTAAATCGGAAAAGAAATGCGCGCTCCTACTCGGCGAGTCTGAGTGCCTACTCTCTGAGTCCCTTCCTAAAACTCAAGATAAATACTTAAATAAGATACCTGGGAATCCGGATGTTACACATAAGAGTTTTTCATCAGAAGGATTTTGTCTTTCTTCAGCTTATCAACCTTTCTCTTCTTTTCCCTTCTTTCTTCAGCAGTGACAGGGCCAGAAGATAGAAATTATTCAATGTTAGCATCTGGGATAGGAGAAACCACGAATCTTTCAGATGAGTCTGAAGCTCTTCCGTCATCAGAACCTGAAGTCTTGAACTCATCACCAAATTTTCCAATTAATTTGTCTTTGAGATCAAAATAAAGAGATGTCAACCCGCCAAGACTGGCCTGAAGGTCTGAGATCTGCTTATTCTTTTAAGAATTTTCTTTTTCAAACTCAGAAACTCTCACATCTAAACTTCCAATCATCAAGTCCTTCTCAATGGACACCTGCTTCAAAAGTACGATCTCTTGTATGAGCTCAAAAATGGTTTGTTGAGAGTCTTCATCACCTATGTGCCCTGAGCCAATAGATATTCCCTTTCCTCTTGATTGAGGAATAGAGTCTTGAAAACCAAGTAGCTTGGCTAGCTTGACAGATGCAACATCGTGCTCTGGAGGTGGTGGGGGCAGAAGAGCTTCTCGAGGAAAAAGTTTCCTCATTATCTAGGAAGTCGAAGTCTTCGTCAAAAATTGGGCTTTGATCTTCTTGATGAACCTGGGCTGGTTCAACAATTGGGATTTCATCATCTTGATCAACATGGGCTGGTTCAACAATTTGAGTTGGCTGTTGTACTGGTTCAGTAATAAGCACTCCCAACCTTGGATCTCTACGTCTTCACTTTCTTGGCATCAGGGAGCCATTTGAATTGTCTTTATCACTCCCAGATGGAGACTCAGTAGTAACAGGAACTGCTTGGGGAGGCTTCCTTGTAGTTGACTGTAATTGTTCAATAAGGGCTTCCATTTGTTTGGGCGTTGGATCGTTTGGTTGCTTGAAAATGTTTATTTATTTCTTTGTCTCAGCTGGAGAAATCACAGCCTCATTGACCGGCTCCTTCGATGGTACAAACATACAAAAATCCACGTCATCATCATCATCAAAAATCATCATCATCATCATCATCATCATCATCATCATCATCATCATGATCATTAACATCAATATCATCATCAGAAACCTCAAATGAAAAACTGAGATTTGATTTTGACGGCGCCACATGCTCTTCGGCTACCATAGCAATTGGGGTACTGGCAGTTTAAACACCTTCTGTCTCTGCAAAATTTCCAAACTTCACCAGTGCTTATGTTTCTTTGAAAACAGTCTTTGACGCTTTCCGTACTTGTTTCATGAGTCCACAGGTGTTTGGACCTAGAGATTTGACATCAAGAGTATCGGGTGTCCTTTCCAACTCGAGATGCATGGCATCAAAGATCATTTGTAGAAATTGAGGATACATTAAGAAAAGATCCTTCTTTTTCTCAGAAAGGTTGCTCTTCATTTCCGAAAAAATCAAACTTTGAGAAATTGTACTCCCAATCCATTGTTAGCGCAACAAATGCCGATGTTGCTGTTTGTCTTATCTCATCGGACCCGCCCTTTCTTCTTCTAGAGATGCAACAAAGAAAAGTATGAACCAAAAATCTACAGTAAGGGGGCAGTAGTTTCTTGACTGTTGGAGGAAAAATTCCTTCGTAATTCATTTTTTTAACACTTCTGTGATCTTGGCAGCAGGGAGTTCTAAAGTAGACTGATCTCCGAACTGAAGCACTTCCCAAATGACTTGCTCTATAATGATAATCTGCTTGCCTTTCATAGTAGATTCAATATCACCAGCACCATCTGCTCCTGCACATTTGAATGATGCACTCCTCTAGAAATCTTTAATCAGGTCCTTGCGTATGACTGGATTGGCACGTAGAGCGTGGGAAATTCTGTAATTGTTCAAACCCACTATCATGGATTTGAATTCATTGTACGCGGCAGGTGGATCCAAGAGATATCATGTGATATTGTGATAATCAACCAACTTCAACTGATCTGCCATTTATCTGCACCAAACGAATCAAGTGAGAACAATAAAATATTAAAATTAAAAATTTTATTTTCTAAAAAATTTAAATTATGGTCATAATGTTGGTTTCGGTCAAAGGATATGGAATTCGGTCAAACTTGAGTGATTTCGGTCAAAAGATATAGATTTCGGTCAAAAGATATAGATTTCGGTCAAAACAAGCTGTTTTTGGTTGAAACCAAGTGAAATCGGTTGGTTAAACTTGAGATTTCGGTGAAAGGGGATGTTTTCGGTCGAAACAAGGAGTTTTCGGTTGGATTCGATTGATTTCGGTCGGATCCGGGTCAAACCGAAAACCCGACGATTCAAATTTTGAACCCCTTTGACAGATCCGCCGGAAACCACCGTCAACCACGCCGGAAACCCTTTTGAAAACCTGCAAAAACTTCCAAGAAAAGGCATAATACACGAAGCATATCACTCGAAATCCATATACCTAATAAAGATTGTGAAGAATCAATGATTTGGACTGAGAATAAGGATAAACAATGGGTGAGAGAGTTTTCGCGATGAACAGTAAGCAGGGGTTTTCGCTTGGATTTTTTGAGAGAAAAGAAATTGATTTCGGTGATGATGAATGAAGAAGAAAAAGAAAAAACCCTATTAAACACCCAAAATGGGTTCTCGGCCCTTTGGGCCATCGAATTCGGTGGGCCCCAATCCATTTAACAATTCATCATTTTTTAATTCGTTTCTTAGAAAAAAAAATTTGAAATGAATATAAATTAAATGCCAAATAAAAATAAAATAAAAATAAAATTGTTAGAAACAAAAATAAAATAAAACAAAACAAACACACTTTAATAAAAAAGTTGTCAATCAATTTAATATCGTTTCTCAGCATACACCTGCATGAATAGCTCTTGTCAATCACCAATATGGTGGTCCACTTAAACACGAAAGATATTTGCAAGTTAGATAGACTATATGTGACAAGACATTGCAATTATATTCCTAAATAGACCATTTTGCTGATGACGACCAATGATATTGTTGTCCACTTAAATTCAGCAGCGAGATCTACAGTGAACCTTTAGTCATGAACCAATTCAATTTTAAGCGCACTAGAACGTGTTCCCCACTTCACGACATACCCTAGCAATCAAGGAATTCCAAAGATCTCTTTACTTTAGGTGAGTGTTCAATTATTTGAGAGAGAAGATAGATATAGAGATGCATATGTTGTATCCTAGGTCGGATATCTTCCAATCACGGAGAGGGACAACATATGACTAACATAGATGGAGGGATAGAGAGATAGAAAGGTGCATATGTTGTGTCCTAGGTCAGATCTCTTCCAATAACATAGAGGGGACAATATATGACTGGCATAGATAGATAGAGAGATACATAGATGGAGAGATGCATAGAAATAGTGTAACATCCCAAAAATTCGGACCAAAAATTTCATTTTTAAGGTAACGATTTATAAATCAATTTATAGAAAACCTCATTAAGTTATTTCATTCCATAAACCTCATTAAGTTATTTCATTCCATAAAAACCATAGCCACCGACGTCGGCGATGACGCTTCCGCCGTCGTACTCAAAGAAAACAACGAGAGAGAGAGAGAAGAAGAAGAAGAATGGATTGCGGATGGGCTTACCATGCGTTTTTGGTGGCTCACGACCTACACAACGACGTACAACGGGTTTTCACCCGGTTCTCGGCGTTTCTCCAACTTCCTACAATGTTCCCGACAGCAGATGTCACAATGGCGACCTTCAACGATGTTACAGCGGCGACGATCAGGCTTTTCTTGCAGCAACACTGAGGTAGCTTGGCAGGTGGCTCGCGACTCCGATGACGGGAGGTGTGGCGGCGCCGGCTGGAGGGGTCATAAGGGTGGCAGCTGGTGAAGAGCTAGGGTTAGGGTTTTGGGGGTAACGCCCTTAAGATGGGAAGAATAGGTCACCGGTGTTTAAATCACGCATCCATCCAAATCGTGGATCAATATTCATAACCCAAACCATGGCGAGCTCGCTGAGTCATCTTCTAGACTCAATGAGTTTGCTCAGTAACAGAAAAGGTTGGGGGACCACGACCGAACTCGCCGAGTTGTATGAACAAGTCGTTGAGTCCCCCATAGTCTAAATCCATACAGTTGATTTTAGTCGGGCTTAATGCACCCAAAACGTAGATCTGGCTCCCCAGGGTCGACATATCACGTAAAGTTACAATATTTATGTTCATGCATGGGTTATTTAGCTCAAAAAACCCTAAAATGTGGTTCACAAGTTGCATGGGACTCCCATGTCCATAAAGTTGGCACCTTTATGCCATGGAGTCCCTCAAAGGTTCGAGATCAGACGTCAATGTTGGGTTTTAAGTACTATAACACTCCTATGGTGCACATACAACCCTAATTATTTGGATCTAAGTTTTCTCTTGTTATACATGCAACAAAAATTACCAAAGCATAAAACCTATCTAGCATACAACTTTGGTACATGAATCATAAAACTTGTTAGAAGAATACCTCTTATTTGTAGCTTGTAGTTGTTGGCCTTTCAAGAGCATAGCACCTCAAGTGTGATGCCTCAAAAAAGTCACAAACACCATGAGCAAATGGAGGATAATGAGAGAGAGAGGCTAGGAGCACACAAAATTGGCTAGGCATTCATCATAGGAGTCTTAGGGCCAATTTTAGCAAGCTAGGGGTTCATTTTATAGTTTGGAATTCCTAGGGTTTCAACTTGTAAACCCTAATTCCCTTGGGATTTTAATCCAATAACTCATTAGCATTTTGTACCAGCTCTTCATGGAATCTCAAAAGGTTTAGTCCAATCCTAATCAACATGGATCTTTAGCCCAAACTATAAGCATTACTGATTTACCTAATCAGTCCCCGTAAATTTAATCAGTCGCTTTTGATCACTAAATTAATTCCAAATTAATTCTTTATCAATACCAATTAAATAATATGATTTCTCAATTAATATATCATTCTTATAATATATTAATAAATTACAAATAACCTCTTTCTCAAATATCCATCCTATCATATTGTTCTGGTGAAGGCAACCCAAAATGGACCATGCTACTCTCGGGTCAAGTATATACCAATTATAGTTATGGGCTTAGATACCTAATCAAACAGTCTCCCACTTGGATAAGTCTAATAACTATTATTTCAAGTACGACTCCAAAATCCAACTAGCAATCGTAGCTCTCAATAGCCGCTGTTGAACTCTGATCTTATCAGCAACGCGTCCATTTATTCCTCCATTCTAGATATCGTATGGACATGAGACATAGATTATAATCATTCTCTTTGTCCATGTGTTGTATCCCGATTTTTGATTTATGACGACCGACTAATTGAACAAATCAAAATAGTCCAGGCTTGGCCAAGCGCTTAGGGTTGTCATCACTAAATCATCGAGGGGCCCACATATATTGCTTTTATCCCTCTTAGGGTAAAAGGAATGGATAAACTTCGACTCATATGCTTGCTCTATTTACTCATCAAATCACACACAACAAAATGTTTTATAACACAAAGTTACTATCATCAATGTGCAACCGACTTGTAAAGTGCAACTCATATCTCCTCGTTTCAAGAATATAAGATATTATCGTCTATC